ATTTTGTTTTATGCAACAAAAAAAAAAAAAAACTCAAAAAACTTTAAAATGTTCCCAAATTGGCGATGTAGGATGAAAATCTAATTTCTCAACCTTTTCTCGAAAGCTACTGATGCTTCATCAATACAAGACGACTTAAATAAACCCTTAGAACAATCACCGTACATTTTTATTAGTTTATTTGCAGATTGAAATAATTTTAAATTGTTGTCGAAGAATTATATCATTGATAGAATCTCCTTTCAATTTGGAGGGAAATAAAACAGACGATATTTTGGATGTAGGCGTTTATACACTTTAACGTTACATATATTGGGTTTGTCGACAGCTTTGAATAAATACCAAGTAATAGACACGTGACTCCGGGAACAAAATGTGTATCACTTACAGATTGAGAAACTGAAAGAGAGATGATGATAAGAAGATAGATGAGAACAAAAAATATGTATGGATAATAAAAGAGCGACAGAGACAAACAGACAGACAGAAGTAAAAGTCTGTCATAGATACATAAATAGATAGATATGAAAAGTTTGAGATATAAACGGACATAGACTGTTAAAGATAGAAGGGAATTTCATCGTGGAACTTGTAAATCTTGTATAGTAAGTTCGATCCTCACTAGTTGCCCCTGGAGACCGTATACTCGAACTAAGCTATTCTCGGTAAACTAAATCAGACTGACCGACATATGAACAGTTTGAAGAGATGGCTTGGCAGCTCGATGTATATGAAGCGACTGGAATAGATTTATATAAAGTTAAGAGCAGATAAAGTAGATCTTATAAATTTGACGAGTTCATTAAATCGCTAATTAAGGCGAACCAAGAATTTGCGCGACAACAATATCATGACGTATATTGGGTTGGAACAAAAGATCGTACTGTTTTTTAATAGGAGGCGTTTGGATACTTAATTTCGTTTCACACGTGACTGAAATTTATGACAAATACATTTTTTGTTAATCAGTTCATTCCAAGCAAAGCGACAGTGCCACTAGAATGCGAGGTGGGGGGTACGGGGGGGTGAATGAAAATGAGAAAATTGAAAATGCAGGAGGATTGAGGAAAGGACAAACAAGAAACAGGTTTCAAGAAGACAGAAGATGACGATTGACGTTGCATTTAAATTTTTGAAAATTGTAGTTATCAGGAAAGCAAGAAATCTGAAGTGAGTTCCATTAGTGGGAAGTGCGAAAATAAACTGTTAAAGTAGTAATGTACGATTTGCATCTAGCTAGTTCAATAGTAAAGCCGAGAGACCTAATTGCCAATGTAGTAGCAAGCTTCAATTCATGTCGTCGTGGCACCAGGGAAAAATCGTCCTCGCAGATACCATTAAAATTTTTGCAGAGCCGGCAGAGGGAAGCCACGTCAAATCAGTGAGAAAGTGACTGCAGATGAAATGCCGAGTCAGGCCCGATTGTATTGCAGAACCTTCTCTGGATTTTGTCCAGATTCTCAGGATGCACAGTACAGAGTCCAGACCAGATAAGGCAACAGCATTCAATACACGGACGAATAGTAGATTTATAAATGGGCATGATGGATTCTGACGAGAAAAATCTTTTGGCACGATACAGTAAACCAACCTTCCTTGCGGCAGACATAGGAATTGACTCGAAATAGTCGCCCCCTTTCTATGTCACTGGAAGACTTGAGGCCAAGAAGGCATATTCTGAAAGGTGACATTTCAATCTGTTTTTATACGATCCATGCGGGAATTGTTAATTTTACATCAAAATGATGAAAATGAGATGAATTATTTACATAATTTACATTGTTCGGACTGTTGTCCTCATCTTTATTGCCATATTCACGATTTGTACGCTCCGACCTTCGTCAGATGATATACGTTGGAATTTAGGATCGAACCCTTTATTTAGAATAGATTGTTCTAATTCCACGTGCCATACCTTTGGATATCTCAGTATCAGTTAATTCCCTTTAGTAACTGAATCCACTGAGCCATGTGTCATTGACTGGTTGAATAATCCAAAAACTAACTTGAACCAAAACGTTGTGAGTTCAGTACCAGACCACAGCAGAGGGAACAAAAACCATGAAGAGTTGAGATGACCTTTGCATCTTTAGATTACCTCTGATTTCGAAAGTTACAAAATTTTCTCAATACAAAGAACTTCAGTTTTCTGGAAGCCTGTGTAAAATCTCTTAAACCAGTCCATCACGTAGAAAGATGCCAAATTCTGGGAGGATGGACCTTCCACAAAGATGTCGAAAGATAATGAAAGAAAATGGTATATATGTGGTTCAATAAATCTACGTACAAATATTTAAATACTGTCCTTGAAATTCACCAAAATAACGCCACGAACTTTTGTTCCGATCCAATATAACTAATATTTTAAGATGTGAAAAATCTTTAAAGAATTTGGTATGAAAATGGGAATCGAGAGAAAGTATTTGTTTAATTTCTCGAATGTCACACTTACTGAGGTGAAACGTTCTGTTCTTACCAGAGGGTTAGAATTCTGTATTCCCCCGACTAAGGTTATCAAAGAACGGGTGTTTATAAAATTTGAGATGTTATTCTCTCAGTTGAATCTACATATTCTAACTTCCTCTGAAAAAAATCTCTTTGTGCAAAACTAAGTTGGCGGATTTGTCTTGTGAATATTCCCCCCCCCCCTCCTGTTGATCATGATTTTCTCGCTTGGCGACGGATCCACTTTCAGACGATTAAGTCATTAAAAGTCAGAAATGAGATCTGTATTACTAAACCCGGCAAAAGGTTTGGGGTGGTTATATTAAGGAGGAAGAACTATATTAATAAAATGGCGATCATGTTGAATGATGTCAAAATTTCGTAAAATTGGTCCTGTTAATTTGTGCGACAATACTTGTAAAATTGAGATTAAAATGCAAAAAAGTCAGCTTTCTATATATAAATGTGCACTTCTTACCAAAATGGTGTATGATTGTATTAAACCCACTGGATCTTAGCATCTTCGAATGAACAGTTTACCCAAAGTCCATAAGGAAGACATTCCTTTCAGACTTATCTTGTCAATGGTGGGTTCTGTTCAAAATGAAATGTCTAAGTGGCAAGTTGTTTTATTACAGCCTATTTCAGATCTGTGTTCCAGATTCGTTTCGGTCCTCCAACTATGTTCCACTGACAATGTTATGGTGTCCTTTAACATAGTTTGTTTACAAATGTACCTCTTCAGGGTACCTTGCAGATCTGAACGGATGTCTTTTATAGGGATCACCTTGGTTCACCCAGTATTCCTGAGAGTTTATTCTAGGAATTCATGTATTTAGCTATTGAGTGCGGGGGGGGGTGAATTTTAATGACATTATGTGTGCCCAGATTGATAGAGTTTCAATGTGCAGTCCCTTGGGCCCTGTTGTAGCTAATATTTTTGTGGATTTTCATTAAAACCCTCTTTTTAAAAAATGCCACAATCCCTACGTTTATTGTCGCCATGATGATGATCCTATTTCCGTTTTCAATTCCATTATAGAGGCTAAGGCTTTCCACCTTCAACTTAATTCCTTCCTCCCATCTCTTCGGTTTACTATGGAGGACAAATATGATTCGTCTTCGCCTTTCTTGGATGTGCTTGTTCAGCGGAAGGATGGCTTCTTCATCACTAGATTTTACCTTAAACTTACATTTATGGACTATAAACAATTAAAATTATTTAGTTCCCAAATTTCTGAAGTTAAATTTAATTTCCACTTTGGCCCAGTGTGCAGTGATGATATGTTCTTATAAGCTCGATGACGAAATCAAAAACATACACAATATTTTCCGAGATAATGGTTACCCGCGTTTTCTTCGTTAGCCAAAGATGGTCTGCCTTATCTATAAAATAGTTTGGTCATTTATAAATTTAAATGTCAGTGAGACGCGGACTACATAGGGTGGACCAATCAGCGCCTTGAAATACGAGTATTGCACAACATGTGCTTGGCAATATCAGCACAGGAAATTAATACCCGTAATACACGTCTGACGCAAACAACACAGGATTCCGCGATAGGCAAACACCTTTTAAATAATCCAGATTGCGCGTACAAATACATGGATTCGTGGTTTTCAATTTTGGACAAAGCACAGTCGGCAAAGCATCTGCGCACTTTAGAGCTGGTATATATTAATTTACACCGACACTGTTTGTGGCGACAGAAGGGGAAATTTATTTGGTTTTTTTCTTTAGTTTTTTTGGGAGGTGAGGGGGTGAGTCTATATTTTTCTTTTTATATTCACTGGAACGATTTATTCTGCTTTTTTTTTTGGTGGGGGGGTGCCAATTCCCTCTCTTTTATTTTTCTTCCCCCTTTTAATATTAAATTGTATTTTAATTGTTGTTCCTTGTTTCCTCCCTGTTTGCCTATCATTCCACGAATCTCGTTAACATTATACGAGTCACCAATAATTCTTCTGATAAGGTGTTGGTCGAAAAAAGGTTAGCTTTTGATAAGATAAAAAAAAAGCGTATATCAATGTTTATCTTATCATCTTGTCGGATTCCGATCCATATTTGACCTACATTTGGTCTTTAACTCATATATATGAAACGAGCGTAGTTTAACATTTAACAACACAGAAAATGAACTCTAAGTTCAAGTTTTGGCTGAGATAATCCGCATTAAATTCACACTAATTCTCCCACGAAAGGCACAAACCCATTTTTTTATCCTTTTCCAGCTAGAAGTTAAATAGTCGTGTAGACTAGATTCGCTAGCCTGGATTGGTCACCGTCCTAAGTGAAAACAAACTCTGAATTCATAATCTCTCCAGATAGGGGCAAAATAACAGTGTATTGAACCTTATTGCGGCACCACCTCTCGTTAAGAAAATTTCCCCAGCACAAATCCCTCAAACTCAGTGTGGCTACTACAGAGCTAGCCTTATGAAAAGTACGATGTCATTGACAGTTGTAGAATAGGAAGGCTTTTTTCTTCGAGATGAGAAAGTCGTAATAGTGAGATATGAGAGAAAGAGAGAGAGAGAGCTAGAAAGTGATAAATATATATATATAGAGAGAGAGAGAGACAGAGAGATAGAGAGAGTGAGAGAGAGAGAGAGAGAGAGAGAGAGAGAGACGGAGAAAGAGCGAGAGTGTAAGGACAAATACCGAGATAGAAAAACAGAATAAGGTATACAAAATTATTGAATAAATTAACTAGATGTATTGGACCGAAAAAAGCGGAAAACAGATGACAAAAAATTGACGTCATTGACAGACAGACAAATAATTAAACAGACATGTATATTTAAAATGCATCAGTAATTTGTGTATAAATGGATTTTAACATTCACCAAATAAAATTATAGCATGATAATTATTATTTTTATTGGGATTAATATAATTATTAAGGCGGATAGATGACAGTTAGCACTGACAACATAGCATTCAAATGCATTCAAATGCATATAAATAATCAGGTTAAAATTTGATCCCAGTTATCAGTAGGGTCGGGGAGACAAGCAACAAATGAACAAAGAAAATCAAAAGTTAAAATAAAGAATAGATAATTGCAAGAATGTCATTTTGGGGCTTCAACTTTTTCAGCCCAAATGTCAGCAAAAAGATAAAATGATAGAAAGCTTTTACTTTTTGCCTTTCCTCATTTGATTTGCAATCTTTAACAAATATTTGGTCAATTGAGCCGCGAAAATGACAAATTAATCAAATTATTGTATTATATGCAGTAAAATCGTTCTTCATTTCCAGTACTTTTTATGGAAACTTCGTGATAATCTTGGTTTAAGCATGGATCAAAGTAAGTAAATATTTTGGCTGTTATTTCTTCATGTTACAACAAACGCAGATCTAAATTAGCAATCTACGTTTAAACAGACTCAACATTCCCCAAATAAAGGGTATTCCAATAACTTGGACCGATTTTAAATGTGAATTAAATTAAAGCTTCTAATGATTTTTTCTTTTTCTTTCAGATTTGGCGAACATTCGGGCGATATTATTTTTCACACATAATTGCCATGATTTAAATAACATTATCCAATAGAGAAATAAATAAATTTTCACCAATAACACTGATTTATTCACTGCTGATTTTGATCCAACTTAATGAAACACCCTTATATATAATCCGTCTTAATGGAACACTATTTATATCATATTGTTAGATCATTATTATATTTATTTTAATATAATTACAAAGATGAGAAATATTAAAACTGAACTTAAATAAATGCCAATTTTTCTTCTTCTATATGCTGTGACGTTGTCAATCATGGCTCTCCATAATTTCCTGTACTTTGTAGCTATAAATATTTTTTTGTTATCTCTACTAAACCTCTCCTTTTATGCATTGTCTATTTCTGTCCCTCTTGCCTTCAATCTGTCTTGTGAGTATCAATTTTTCCAAGCCCTCTTCATTATTTTTTGTATCAGAAATTTCAACTGTCTTTTCCTGATGAAGTGTCCTTTTTGTTTCTATTTTCTCTATAACTTCGTCGTTGCTCACATGTTCGGTCCATGGTATTCTCAGCATCCTTCTGTATAATATAATTTCTGTTGCCTCATGTCGCTTCTTTATCTGTGAATTTTCTTTTTCTTTGTTTCTGACGATTTTTTTTTGTTAATATTTTGTTTAACTTTTGACTGGCATCTTTTGCTATCCCAATATTAGCGTTGAAATATATACACATATTAATAACTGGAAATAAGTGATTAAAAAACAAGTTATTTAAATTTCTTAGAAAAGGAAAGGACACACTAGGACACACTCTATGAATACATATAAAAAGTTTCAAAAGAATCTGTAGTATTTACTCTATTTACATTGTTCGAACTGTTTTCCTTATCTTTTCTGTCACATTCACGACGTTTTAGCCGTTCTCCGCCTCAGCCTTCTTCAGGTGATATTTGTTGGAAATGGCCCAGTGGATAAAAACGTTCGTTAATTGATCAAAAAAGTGACTTGAGCCAAAGAGTCGTGAGTTCAATCCCTGACATCAGCGGAAAGAACAAAGACTTCGTTATCAAAGCGAATTAACTAAAACCGAGATATCCAAAGGTATGGCATGTGGAATTCGAAAAATCTACCCCCGGGGACTAAATAAAGGGTTCGGTCCGAAATTCCAACAAATATCAGATTTAAGTCTGCAGCCTAAATCGATGTTATTCAATATAATGTTGTAACGTTATTGTTGTACAGAGTAATGAAAATCCAAGGCTTAATCTCTCAGGCGTAACCGTCCTAATAAACTCCGTCATTTACCGTTAGCCGGGTGGGTGGGTGACCTCGTGGTCCTCTCTAAATTTAGACTCTACATTCTCGTTTGCATGTAAAATACTCTCCTTTAGGTGCAACTCGGTCGATTATCTGTTGGTATCACTGACATCCTGTGAGGCGTGGATCTGCACTTGGTGACTAGGAGGGTACCTTTCAGGTCAACTTGCCGATGCCCATGTCTTCTCTAATGCCACATTCGGGCATCATCTGGAATGAGTCACATACTGTATTTTGTTTAGAGCTTAAGATTAATTCAGGCAGAGCTTTAGGTAAACTTCGTTTCAATTTCCACTTCTTACAACTGCAAAATATGTGAGAATTTTAAAGGTTCATTATCGGAAGGACAAAATCATCACCGATGACTTTTTGACAATTTACAAAACTGCATTGAAATTTATTAATTAAAAGTTAGATCAGTGAAAATTCTACGATGAATCTGCACGTTATTTATATTATGCATATAGTCTTATTATTAAGATAATCTTTTTCTTTTCTTTCTTCTTCTTCTTCTTCTTCTTCTTCTTCTTCCTCTCCTACTTTTCCCATTTCTCCTTCTCCTTCTTCTTTAATTTTTACTCTTTTCTTTTTACTCTTCTTCTTTTTCCACTCTTTCTTTTTCTTATACTCCTTCTTCTTTTTTCTTCTTTATCTTCATCTTCTCCTTCTCCTCCTTCTTCTTTTTTCTTCTTTATCTTCATCTTCTCCTTCTCCTCCTTCTTTTTTCGCCTTCTTCCTTTTCTGAGCTGAATACTGTTTGTAACGAGTAACTTGCTGTTTTTTTTTTATATCGCCAGAGAAAGATTCGTTGGACAAGAAATAGAATTTCTTCTCTCGCACTTCTCACTTGTGGAGCTCTCTTCTGGCTTTGAGCTTTGATCTTCAAATTTTAAAATTCAGTCTCAATCATTATCTTGTCTTCATAATTCCTGTTTTTTTTATTATCCTCTCTCTTTTATAGTTTGTGTTCTCATATTCTCTAACACTCACTAACCCCTTGTTTCTTAGTGGCTTTATTGCCTTGCTTGAGGTGAAATGATTAAAAGAGGTGAGGTAAATATAAAGTCAGTATTTTTTTAAAAAGTGTAGAGATCATTAAATATCTGCATATTAATGCAAACGAATGTATTATTTCGAGTTGTGTGCAAATAATTTCAGTAATTTTATTAAATTTAGCAACGTAATCGTAATAACAATTATATTAAGATATTTCTTTTTCTTTTTTATTCGATGTTTCGGTAGTCTTTGATTTCCATCTTCATAAAACGATTCTGGCTTCATTGAAATACAATGGAATGAAGAATCAATTTTCTCACCAAATAAGAATGTTGTATTGATCTAAACAAATGAGAATTCTATAGAATCAACTCGTGTAAATATGTCACGGAATGCAAAATTTCCCTTTACAACACATTATGGTTCTTGGTCAGCAAAATGGCGTATAGACGAGTGTTGTCATGCGGAAATATAGTATCCCGACTTTTCTGTCTTATCAACGACATTTTATCTTCATTTAAAGCGATTAGATCTGGAAGGTAATCTCTGTAACTCTCTGCACTAACAGTTTAACCAAACTTCAGCAATTCATAATACTGTAAACCTTTTATATCCAACTAAATATAAAACAATAACCTCCCCACACAAATCGGGTTGGATTTTGCTGTTGATGCTGCACACTATTCTGGATCCCCTTAAGATTTTCAAGGATTTTTGCTTATCGTCAGAATATGAACCCATTTTTCATCCCCCAGTGATAATGTTCCACAAAGTTTGTTCGTTTTTTATCGTCTGGATAGAAGTAAAATGGAATTGGTGAGATGTTGTCTTATGTTATGTCCTCACATTTCATGTGGAATACATTTTCCTAGTTTTAAAATTTCCCCATATTTTGCGAATGTATTACAATTATTGGGTAATTGATGAACGCTTTTTTTTTCAGGCAAATCTAACGTTGAGTGTGTGAGAGCCATCACCCCCCCAAAAAACGTTGCAAGTCATGACTTCTACATTTTGATTGCCTACCGCTGCACAGTTTGGTCCTCCAATTCAAATTTATCTTATTTTTATCTTCGTAAACCTTCCATGGTACCAAGTGTTTCCAGCCGAATCATCTCCGTCGGTTTCATCAATCATCTTCCTCGCTTTTGCTGGTGTCTTTACCAATTTACAAAGAAACAATACACAATAGCACGCGTCTTTTCTGTTTTTCTGAACACAAAACAATTTTTTTTTTCAACCGTGCGCTCAGTCTCTGGCTATCAAAGAATAAAGGGTACTGAGAACTTTTGAATATAACTAATTATAGGTAAGTTTTCTTTTAATTTGTGATCGATTTCCTAAATCCAATGTTATAACCCTGATCAGAACTTTAGGATGACTTTTTATCAAGTCGCGAGGTTTCTCTGCATGAAAGCTACACCCTTTCTACTGTTTTGTTGCACGGATCAGCTGCATTAACTTGGGATGAAGTTTGACCAATGAAAGACAGTGAATGAGTTTATTTCAACGCACGTGAAATTAAGGATGGTAAATGAGGACCTTGAACGAAAGTGGAATTACATTTTTTACTAGTTTTCAAATTTTGGCATCAAATTAAATTTTCCAACAAAAATTTAAAATGATTATCAATCATCGTTCTGTTTTCTAAGTTTTCCATGCTGGGTCTGTTCAGTTCCATATTTTTAATATAATATTTTTTATTGTTAAGAAAAACTCAACATTCTGTTTTCATTCCATGACCGTGAAACCAAATTCTATGAACATATTATGACACAATCTGCCAGAAAAAATATAAGGGATAAAAAAGGTGTTTACAACACAAATCCTAATAAGAATTCATAGATATATTCTATTTACAAAGATTTAAGACTTTTTAGGTGAGACAGTTAAAATTGTCCTAGATTTTACCGTAAGTAAATTAGATGTAAAGTAATATCATTACTATACATTGTTGTGACCAAGTAAATGGTTAAGAAATAACAAAACCAGGGTTGCAGATATATCATATATTAAGCAGTAAGTACAACAGAAGAGTATTACACGACTAGTGAGTGTGTGTCGGTTGACCCAGCGTTCAATCTACTCGACTGTTATATTTAACAGAAACGAGGAATGTGTGTGGCACAAGGCCGAGTTTACCGTGTGTTCTCAGAGCCCGTAGGCTCGGCCAAAAATATTCCCTTAGAACCCACATAAGCGGGTTCAGGGTCTGTCTACCAAACTGGACGAAACTTTGCCCTTCGGCAAAGCCTCGTCCGGGTTCCTCTCTGCTCGAGACAGAGAGTTCGACAGAAATGAACAATCTGGTCGACTGTTCCCCCAAGGCCTTTCCTACTAATCTTATACTAGGCGGAAGAGACTCTTTAGAGGGACGACACCACAACATACATCTAAATAAGCTGACCTGCCAACTTTTGTTATTCCATATTGAAGGACACGGCTGTAACAGTTCTTTTAACACACCCTACTAGATATTCCATGTCACGGCTGACTAGTTTGCAGAATGCAGTCGGGACGGGAAGACAACTCGTTATGCAATAAAGTTTCGTGTTAAATTGAGCGAAGACGCTACATAAGTTTATGAAATTCTCCAAACTGCTTATGAATTAAATTGTATGAGCCGAGCATGTTTTTCGCTGAGGTTCAAGGACGGTCAGAGAGGAGGGTGAGAGAGGAGGGTGAGAGAGGAGGGTGAGAGAGGAGGGTGAGAGAGGAGGGTGAGAGAGGAGGGTGAGATGTAGGAGGGTGGGAGAGAAGGGTGAGAGAGGAAGGTGAGATGTAGGAGGGTGAGAGAGGAGGATGAGAGAGGAGGGTGAAATGTAGAAGGGCGAGAGAGGAGGGTAAGAGAGGTAGGAGGGTGAGAGAGGAGGGTGAGAGAGGAGGGTGAGAGAGAGGGTGAGATGTAGGAGGGTGAGAGAGGAGGGTGAGAAAGGAGGGTGAGAGAGGAGGGTGAGATGTAGGAGGGTGAGAGGAGGGTGAAAGAGGAGGGTGAGATGTAGGAGGGTGAGAGAGGGAGGGTGAGAGAGGAGGGTGAGAGAGGAGGGTGAGAGAGGAGGGTGAGAGAGGTAGGAGGGCGAGGAACATGGGGACATCAGAGGAGGGTGAGAGAGAAGGGTGAGATGTAGGAGGGCGAGAGGAGGGTGAGAGAGGAGGGTGAGAGAGGTGGGTGAGAGAGGAGGGTGATAGAGGAGGGTGAGATAGGTAGGAGGGCGAGGAACATGGGGACATCAGAGCTGGTCGAGAAAATTCAAAATTTTCTGAATGATGAACGTCGTGTGTCTATAAAGACAAGAAGCATACAGTTTGGAAATGGTGTGGCAACTGTATACACGAGATTATTCATGAAGATCTGAATATGCGCCCAAATTGTGTCAAATTCGTTTAGAGACGAACAGAAAGAAAGACGCGATGGGATCAAAACTGTCTGTCGCACTCCACACTGTCTTACCCCATGTGACTTTTGGTTGTTTCTCAAACTGAAGGAGAACTTCAGAGGCAATCGTTTTGAAATCATTAAGAAGATGAAAGAGGCTGAGATAATGGTCCCAGATACCTTCACTTTGGATGACTACCAGGGAGCCTTCACGAAGTAGCTGAGCCCAATAACAAGTGCTTTATAGTCAAGATTAGTATTTTATACTTTGAAATTAATAGATGTCTCTCCTAAGAAAGTCAAAAAAACTTCTAGAATGAACATTATATTTTGATGAATAGATCTTTCGTTAAATGCTAATTATTGCAGAAACAAATACCTGAACACGTTCGATGTGACTATCGATTAAAATCTTCGGATATTCATTCGGGATGCAAAACTTTTTCCTAACTAAGATAACGTATTGGATATTTCCTTTTATTCTTAATATCTTGTTTAAGCGAAAAAGATTAGCTTAATCTGGAAGAATCTGTTTTTAAACAAGAATTGGGGGCATTTTAAGTTGGAACGTTTCCCGCATGTAATTGTGCCGGAAATATGTGAAAGAAAAAAAAACTGAAAGAAAAATACAAAATCGATGAATCTGAAAGAAGAGAAATATAAATGGATCAAAGCAAATACAATGATTGATTCCTCAGAGTTCGTAACTCACATTTTGACGAATATATTGAAAGTGAAAATAAATTACTGGGTTATAATTTGATTGTTGATTGCTTACTTTCAAAGACCAGTTTTTCGAGAAGCGTGAGTCGATCTCCAATAAGTTCAATGTCCTCCTCATTCTTTTTCAAGTGATTTAATTCACCCTGGAGCCTCGTCACTTCATCTTGTAGGAACTAAAAAAAAAAAAAAAAACAAGAAATAGAAAATATCATCAAAACCAGTAGAAAGCAAAGTAATGCTCTTAATGATGTGCAATTGTTTATATAATTTTTATATCTATCCTTATATACTGACACCCAAATGTCTCTTATTTAGTTCAATTTCAAATTCAGTGATAAAAATATATTTTTACTACCTTCTTCCGGCTCTTGGGTTTAACTTTATAAGTAATTATACTTTTTTTTTCAGATTTTCTACATGAAAATAATTCATGGAAAATATTTTACACGAAACGCACGTTTTTATTTCTCTGTTGTCTGTATTAAATACTTTTTTTCAAATTTTGTGTATTGTGTGTGTGTATTTTTGCTAATACACACAAATGGGGATAGGCTTAAAAAGATACAGGGGTCATAAAAATATAAGAACAAAAACCTCCTTTCTTCGCTCTTTCGCTGACCAATCGGAATTGTTTTATTAACCCTTAAGCAGAGGAATATTTTCTCTACAAGTCCAAGAAAATTTGGATTACTACTAAACACAAAAGACGATAATTAAACATCGGAAAACACAAGGAAAAATGAATTGCTTTAAATAATATGTGGAAATAACCCACTCTTTGTCCGATGAAGGCCGAAAGACCCGAAACACGAGTAGCAGAATAATGGAAAATAAAGTATAATATATATTTAAAAAATCTACATTAAAACCAAAAATGGTTGCGGCTTCTCTCTTCTCTTTAATATATATATATATATATATATATATATATATATATATATATATAGATAGAGAGAGAGAGAGAGAGATTGTAAGAATGTTCCGTTTTTCTAATCTGACAACCCTAACTATATGTCAGTTATTTTATGTTGGATGACTTTTGTTGAGATTACATGGTTATCTCCCTTTGCTTTCAAAACTTAACTGGTAACAATTAAATATTCAAAATTGTTCTTTTTCGCAGGTTTGACTTACAACCGTTTTTTCTTCTGACCATTTGGCTGCCTATCAACCAAGCAAATCTTTTCAACTCATGTTCAGAATTGGTAGAAGTTTAATATTAAAACATTTTCTAAAATTTAAATCTGTTTTAAAAGTAAACATCATCAGGAAAAGAGAAACGTGTGAAAATTCAGACTTACAACCCGTGCAGATTTTATTATTTTTTAAAGATACTTGACTTGGAAACGAGTCCAGAGTTGTTTACAATAACAGCCTCATTACAGTTGTAGCTTTCTTTAATTACATTGATTCTGTTAAGGGGTCTACCCCTTTTTATACAAGTGAACTCGCCCAGTGTGTACTTGTACTGCTGTCGGTGAATACTCGGGGGTGAGACAGTGAGAGAGTGAGAGAATAAGAGTGTGAGGTAACCGTTTTGTAGGAGTCACAGTTGCGAGCACGTAGACTCAGAAGGAAGTCCTACTTCGATACTGAATTTCCCAAACTGTATATATATTATTAGTGCTACTAACCGCATTTCTGGATCTACTAACCGTATTACCAATTGTATTATTACGTCAATACATTTATTTGCTATATTTCATTCCTGCGTTTGTCATTCATTTGAGACCGGATTTCATCCCGGAATCTACAACAGATTCAAAATGAAGGAAAAACACTTTTTATAAGCTATCGTTTAATATATATATTATACTAGCTATCATTTTATACTGACAATGAAATAAGGAAAGCTTGGATTGTGATCAATGCAGTAAAGTGTAGTGAGTGCGAATTAATAATAACTCCCTTCAAATTCTGGGGACTGAGGAAGAAAAAGTAAAGGAATTTGCGAGCTTATGTGAAACTTTCTTTAGACCATTGAAAACTTTGCCTTCACAGATGAACTCAGAAGAAGGAAATTAATTCGCAAGCCTATGCGAAATTGGAAAAATTAAAAATCTTGCCTTCATAGAAATTAGCCAGTCAACCGAGATGAAGGAGAAAATAATGGCGAGTTTATAATCATTTTTATATATAAAATGAAAAGAAAAATTAAATTAATCGGAGAAGAGTCTTCGAAGTCATGTGAAGCGTTTCGTTTCAGTTCCTCGCGACCAGCATTGAAGTTCTCGCCAGTGTAAAATTATCTGTCTATATTTCGGAGATATATAAAGAGTGTAAAGTTACTCGCTAATTATATTATCAGTCTCGAACTAGCAGGGGGCATTTTTTCTAAATTTTCTCTCAACAATCCCCAAAAGCTAAGTATTTCAAAATATCTCTGTTCGTCAACATTTCAATGTATGCAACCATACTTACTCTCTTACTTTCGTTTTAAACATTTTTAAAATTATTTTGTGTCAGATCATTTAATCTGTTGTATGAACATTTCCTCTTCATGACAATTCCTGAAAACTACAGATTTACAAAATTTCTGATTTATTGAAACAAGTTACTGACACAACTTCAAGCGTGTAAATTCGTGTTTTGTTAAAATTACCAATGTGTTTCCTCTTTATCATCATCCTTTATTAATCTTCTTGGCGTGGGTAAATCAAATATTCATTTTAACCACCAAGCCTCACCCCATTATAAAAGAAAAGGTTATAAGAGATTCTAATCAGTCAATTAAAATGTGCGCATAGTTTCAAGGAAAGTAAATACTGTTTTCTATTTATAATGTCTTTCTCAATCTCTAAGGTAATAAATAGAGACATTCTCTCTAATTGCGACGATACAAGAAACAGAAGCCAATAATTTACTATCTTCACAGATCTCTAAACTTCCAACTTCAAATGATTTTGATATATTTTCTTCAGGGACATTATTTTTTAAGTCAGTAGTATTTCCCAAAAGAACCTCACCCGAAATTTCGATAATGTATGCACTGTGTTAGTTTAATAAACTATTAATTAAACTGTGGGTTATCCCAATTGACATTGCTAAAAAAAAAATACGCTTCTAGGAGGGGGGGAGGTGCTGTTTAAGCCTATATAAAGGCATGCATTTCTTTCCATAGCCTCTTTTTCCTTTTAAAGCTTTTCAACTTTGGCATTAAGATGTACTTTACGTCCAGTTGGCTTGCTTGGTTTTTTTACTTCCTCTCTCTTGAATTTTGAACTTTTTCATACACGTGTCTATCGCGTACACAAATTTCACACACACAAAACGCACATTCTCTTATAGTTTGTTTAAATGTTTCTTTATGTAACTAGTCTTTAAATATTTTCTACTTTCATTGTAATTGTAATTCACTTTTGTCGATACATGCAATTAGTTGTTTGTTTTGTGTTACTCATTTTTTACTTGTATTCACATCGAGTACACAGTAATTGTTGCGGGATAAAAATAAAACTAGGAGACATGTTTCAACCTAAAACCAGTAGCAATCCCGTAACAAAACATTATTCATAATTTAAAGGAATTTTGAGATCTTTAAATGATTTAATTTTCAAAAGAAATTCATAAAAAATTGCTTGAAATTATTTGAAATATTTATCGATGATAACAAAACCTGAAATGAAAAGGAAAATATTAAATAATTCATTGAAAATATTAAATAAGTCATTGAAAATATTAAATAAGTCATTGAACAATAAAAAAGAGTGTTCCGAATATTTTTTAATTTTCATTTAATTTCTGGGCGTTTATGCTTGGAGATTTACGACTTCGGACAGTATTTGAAATAAGTAACATATAATTTGGATTCCTTTTGATAACAGTGCTTATCACCAAAATTGATCTGTGCCCCAAAACCCAATAACTAGAAAAATATTTATAACACTAAATCCCAATATCTAAAAAATGATCTAGGACCCTAAACCTCAATAGCTAAAAAATGATCTGGGGCCCTAAACCCCAATAGCTAAAAAATGATCTGTGACCCACCTCAATAGCTAAAAAATGATCTGGGACCCTAAACCCCAATAGCTAAAAAATGATCTGGGACCCTATACACCAATAGCTAAAAAATAATCTGGGAGTCTAACCCCAATAAGAAAAACATTGGGTTTTACTTGCGTGGATGCATTGTCATATCTTTTATTTTTAAGCCGAGATGATAATTTGCTGAGAATGCTGACATTAAATAATTTTTAATGGCACTTATCATTAATTAGACATAATTTTTGAAGGAGTTGAAATTCCTTTTAATTTATAGATATCTGGCTTGTAATTGGTCGGATCGTTTATATTAATGATATAATTCCTGAGAATTTTTTATGACACAAACCGACATTTGGAAACACTACTGTAAGTTAAACACTCAGTCTTGTAACATAAGAAGACACTAAAATCTCGTCTAATGGATGGCAGGGTTTTGGAAAACGAAACAATTTGGACTATCAAATCACGTCCCGCATCCTTATGCGAATTAAAGATCCGTAAGCATTTTTACTTTTATTACGAGGAAATATTTTAGTAAACATTAATTAGAGTTTTATAATAATAATAATTCTGATTGAAACAGCAAGCGTCCTTCGTAAAGTATAAGATGCAACTTGTCTATTAAAGAAATACATGATCGGTTTATTTTTTTTAAAGTACCAGAGGTGACTTTAAAATAAATTTTCTACCACTATATGCTATGTTGAGGCGATAAGAAGAAGAAGAAGAAGAAGAACAACAACAACAACAACAACAATAATAATAATAATAATAATAATAATAATAATGGAGTTTCAAATGGATGAAGCGATACGAGTAAAGCACAATACACCGACTGAAGCTGCAAAAGGCTTAAAAAACCAAAGGCAAATGCAATCGACCAGATACAGAAACAATGGCAAGATAAACCGCTTCACGATCAATACTCTGCCCGTACCAAACAAGCTAATCTAGACAAACCCCGTACCCGTCAGTGGCTACCGTAGTGCAGGGTTAAAAGCTGAAACCGCGGCTTTATTCTTGCTGCGCAGGACCAATGCTTGCTAACTATAAATTATCAAGCACTTATACTGAAAAATTGTGTTAGCCCAAAATGCAGATTCTGTGATAAATATACAATTGACCATCTTGTATCAGGTTGCACAGTATTGGCACCCACTGAATATAAAACCCGACATGACAGAGT